CTAGAAACAGCTCGAGGGTTCCGTAATGCTAACCCTCACCCTCGTATCAGAGAAATGCCACCTTTTCAAACTCTGTGACCTCCTATTCTTCCCTATTATAGTGAAGTGGCATTTTGATTACAGGAAAGAGAAATGGTACTTGAAAATCGGAACTGACAGAACAACATATTCTTCCAGGCATCATTTTGTAGACAATGCTCCCCTAATTTCAATTTTAGAGCTCCTTTGCAGCACACCTCTTTTTAATGCATGGTTCTTACATTTTCAAGTGAACCCATAAAGAATTTTAAAACGAATCGATAACATTGGGGACCTTAAAGAGATAGAGGAACTAATGGTGGAATGGAAGCAAAGGGAAGAAAGCCTGTCCGCGCATTAAATACCAACTGTCCCGGGTGCATTTCTCTGTAGAATCCTCACGAACCCAGAGCCCTTGGGATACTCTAAAAGCCCTGAACCGGGAGGCTGAACACCATCAACAGTGGTCTCGGGTTTCAAGGTCCTGCCCTGCCCAGGGGCTACTCGGCCTTAGCCCAGCCTCCCTTTTCTCATCTGTACAGTGGGGATCCAGGGAAGACTTCCTACAATTGAAAAATGCTGTGATCTGCGGCGTGACTGACATGACTTTCTTCAAACGAATACTATAGTCTAGCAGCGGGAACTGAGCTTCCTGGTGGTGAAGGACAGCTTGCCTGCACCACTTCCGGTTTATGCCCACCCACTTCCTGTTTGCAGCGACCGCTTCCGGTGTGCAGCTACCTACTTCCGGGTAGCCCTCCACCGCTTCTGAGCACACTGCCCCTTCCCCTTGGTAACCCATAAGCACTAAGTCTTGGCGAGTCAGCCCCGATTCCTCCTTTAGGGCGCGCTGCCCAGTGGATCGCCCCTCACTTGGCTTCCTCGCATCCTCAGAATTACAGGCAGTATTTAAATCTTTCAGAGGTTTTCTTCTTTGAGAAAAACCTTGAAAGAAAAAAAGCGATGGAAGGGGAATCTCAAAAAGAGATTGCAGTCACGCTGTAGTAACCTCATTTGCATCCTGATTCAAACAAGCAGTCCTAAAAAAATTTTAAAGAGACGTTTATGAGACAATTGGAGATTGGAACACTTAGATAGTAGGTCTGAAGACATGCTCATTGATTATTTTAGGGGTCATAATGGTGGTGGTGTTATTTTTCAAAAAGGGCCCTTATCTTTTAAAGAAACATACTGACATTTTTGCAGATAACTATGACGCGGGAGGGCAGTGAGTGAGTGAGTGATATAGCTGGAACAGGTTTTGGCCATACATTGACAATTACAGAAATTAAATGAATGGGTACCTGGAAGTTAATTATACTCTCTGGCTTAGTCTTGTATCAGGTTTATAGTTTCCATAATAAAAAGTGTGGGAAAAAAACTCGATGGGGATTTGTCCTAACGAGGCACTTTTGCGGCGGCGTTGGAAAGGGCTGCTTGTCATAGCTGCATAATCGCCGGGGGTAAATATGGAAGTTCATCAATCAGAAAGGCTACAGTGAGGCGTGGGCTGGCGACGGGCCCAGCTCTGTGTAGCTGTCATCTCGCCTCTAGGCCAATTTGGCCTCTATAAATAACCGTCTATATGAAGGCTCTACTATTTTAACGCGCATTCGCCACAGCTGCGGAGCATGTTTGTTTACGTAGCTATGAACCTTTCTGTAAACATCACTATCTCAAATTCACCCATGTGTCAGGAACATAAAGGGCCCCTTTAAAAATACATTTGTAGGATGAGACACGCGGCCAGTTCCCAGATGTCTGGGTGGCTGGTGTCAGAATTTTCCAGGGTTTTTGATTCATTTTCAAAAATAGAATCACATGACTGGAAGGTTCTGGAGAGGTCGCTGTACACTTCCCTCCGCGTCGGGGCAGGACCAGACTAAAGCCACCCACCAAGGATGTGGGTCTGTCTGTCATCGAGGTGGGGGGCTGGGGCCTGGGGCCTGCAGAGCATCGACTTGGGTGGTGTGCACACCTGCCTTCAAGGATCTTACTTTCATTTTCTAAAAATGAGCCCGACTCTGAGCGATGGGCAAAGGCAGGCCTGCTGCGGTACAGCTGTGGTATTGGGACAGGATGCGTCCACGGAGAACCGAGGGACCTGTGCTGAGCCTGGAACCCGCCAGGGTGAAGGGCCCCGGCCATCAGCCTCCTGCAGGGTCACTCAGGCCTGCAGAAAACGCCACGTCCTGATCAGGGTGGGCCCACGGCCCGGGAGACAGGGAGAGGGCCCTGCGTCAGGGTTGAGTGTGGGGCTCATTCTTGAAAAAGGCCCATTAATGGAGGTCACTGATAGTAGTTTCAGGTTGACTAAGATGTTTCTGAAAGGAGAAACAAGTGACGCGGAAACCATTTTGTGCCAGCACGCTGTCGTCAAGGCGCTTGCTGCCCATGCAGCCCCGCAGTGAATAATTAGACCCTTGTGAATTTGTTTTCCTCAGCGTGCACTCGGTCCACAATTATTTTGTTCCTGTGACTTTGACTCATTGGAGCATTTCTTCCCCCAAGGGTCTGCTTAATGCCCATAAATACCAGTTGCGCTTTTCATTCACAGAGAAAAGTGTCCCTGTGAAGCTTAAGAGATCAGATGTGCCGGAAGTACTGAATTCTATGAATCTCACCAGGGAAGGATCAAGGCATGTCCAGCTTCCCGACAAACTCAGCACTTTCTAGAACACTCTTCCCTCCACTTTCCAGAAGCTGGAAAACTATTTTTAAAAGAAAAATATAGTTTTCTTTTGAAAAGAAAAATGGCCTTTTTCCAGGAACAGGGGTGAGTGTTATGATTTTTTTTTTCCTGGCACCTGCCTATTTTTCCCTTAAGAAAGCAGTGGAAAGGCCACTGGATGCTCAGAGGCAAGTATCACTGTTAATTACCAAGAAAACGACATTCCTCCCTTTGGAAAGCTCACTCATTACAAGCTGTCACCAGAAAGACAGGGTCTGCCCCAGGGAGAATGCCGATTCAGGGACATCACCAAGATAACTTGCTTATTCTGGATTCATTTATTTTTTTGAGACTGGGCTTTGGCTTGAGGGACCAGCTCCTACAGTTTGAAGCTCAGGTGGACACCACTATCCAGGAGGTACCTATTTCCAGTGGCTTTTGCTTCTTGAGCTCAGAGACGCAAGGATAACAAGGCTTGTCCACTGTCCCCTGCCTGCCCTCCATGTCCTATTGGGAGAATTTGTAGTGGGAGACCTTATGTTACATGGCAGGGTCTGTTGGTGCTGCCAGAGGCTGCATCTCCGCGGCCGCCGCTAGGGCGATCCCGCCTCCCTGTGCTCGGCCCAGCGGGAGAGGTGCCTGGTCCGCGGGACACGACAGAGCTCCCTGTTCACATCGCGTCCTCCCTGCCTCCCTCCGCCCCACCCCCGTCCTCCCCACACACGACCGTCGCTTCACCAGTGCACCCAAAGTCCGGCTAAAGGTGCCGATAGCCCTGTTCACACCCACTGCACTTACTTAATATTTCACAATAATTGTTCTGTTATTCTTTAAATCCGTTTCCAGATTAGGTCCGTGTTGCTTTAGTTCTATGGAAAAGGGCCCCCTCAAATCGCTGAGCGCCATGCAAAGCCTCCCACTCACGTGGCCGCTGCTTGTTGCATTTACAAACCGACTGCGGAGGGTCCCACCACCGTAAGAAGAATTTGTTAGGGGTCAGGACCTTGCCTGCCGGGGATAGGGATGCAGAGATGTGAGACCCATGCCTGGCCTTTGAGGGGGCGACTGAGGTCAGTGGTGGGTTCGTGAGGGATCTGGGGCCGGGCTGTCGGCCATGCATTTTCGGGTTAGATGGGCCAACTCCGAGCCTCCAGTGGAAGACGTCAAAGCACAGGAGGGCAGATTCTATAATTAACGAGGATCCCAAGGCTACTATCGATACCCAGGAGAACAGTAAAGAAATTAATGAATTTCATTCATTTCCTGTGGGACACCACTGTTAGATTAAGTCAGAGATTACAGCTCGGATTTGTGGAAGGTTCCAGATAAATATGGGCAGAACCTGCTTCGCTCTTAGGATGTGGAATACGTGTCAAGCTCTGCTATGAGTGAGGACTTCAATAAAAACGGACCATTTCTCTGTTTTGAGAACAAATCAGCTTCCTGCAAACACACCAATGATCAGCCATTAACAGCAGGAGGGTCAATAGGGCAACGACGACGGGACCTTCCATTTTTTCCGGCTCGGCTCGAGTCGCTTCCTGGGTCTGCGGTGTTGAGTCAGCTGGGGGCTCAGCGCGCAGAGTGTGGAGAAAGACACCGAGCACCCACTTGATGTAAAAGAAAAACTGGTGCTACGGGCCTCGCGAATGGCTCCCAGAGATGAGGGGAAAGGACATTTTTATTAAAGCGATTTATCAGGCTTCCTTCGAAAGGCTTAACGTCTTTCTGGTTTGGCAATAAATAATCTCAAGTATTGAAATTAAACAATGGTACAGAGCCACTTAAAAAGCGCTTTAGAGGTGGATTTTAATTTAAATAATTATTTGGAATTTTAACATACATTAGGAAGTGTTTTAAAAATACTTATTAACTTGCCCTGGCTGGTGTGGCTCAGTGGAGGGAGTTCTGGCCTGTAACCCAAAGGGTCACAGGTTTGATTCCCAGTCAGGGCACAGGCCTGGGTTGTAGGCCAGGTCCCCAGGAGGGGGCGCACTAGAGTCAATCACACTGATGTTTCTCTCCTTCTCTTTCTCCCTCTCTTCCACTCTCTCTAAAAATAAAACAAAAAAAAATGTTAACAAATATTTATCAATTTGTTTCCAAAGGGCCCTTAAAAAGCTAAACACTTAGGCATCTTGGTGGATGGACTTAAGGTTGTAAGACATAGCCATACTCTTTCGCGGAGCCAGGGGATGGTGTCAATGGTGAGCGAGGTTCAGTTTTCCACACTTGCCAAAAGTAAGACCATGAGAGCCAGTCTAAAATGAGCACGGACCCTGCAGATATCGCAGGATAGTGCTTGCCTTACCTGTAGCCTCCACCATTCCTTCTAGGATGACCACAATTTCCAGTTCCTCTTTGGGCAGCTGGGCTTTGGAGATTTCCCAGAAGGGACTCTGTTGGTTGATTTCGTGACTGATGATGAGCGGGGACACCAGAAACAGGCGGTCATCTCCAGTGTAATACCCGACGTTGATGTCCGTCTGGTTCAAAGGGATGAACTCCCCCTCTGAGGTCTGTTTGGACTTGATCAGCTTGGCTCTGATGGAAGCCTCCACGATGTGGGAGTTCCGAAGGTCCCCGACTCGAAACATCAGGCACAGCTTCCCGTCCCGCATGGAGATCACCGCGTGGGTGGAGAAAACCAGGGTCTCTGCCCTCTTCTTGGGCTGCGATATTTTTACAAACATGCATCCCACCATGAATGCGTTGACAATGGACCCCAACACAGATTGGATTAAGAGGAGAATGATCCCCTCAGGGCACTTGTCCGTGATGACCCGGTAGCCATAACCGATGGTGGTTTCTGTCTCTATCGAGAATAAAAAAGCAGAGACGAACCCGTTGAGGTTGGTGACACAGGGAGTCCACGAGGGGTCCTCTATGTGGTCCATATCTCCCCGGATGTATGCAATGAGCCACCAGATCATCCCAAAGAAGAGCCATGTCACTGTGTAAACCATGACGAAAATCAGCAGGTTGAATCTCCACTTGAGGTCCACTAAGGTGGTGAAGATGTCGGTCAGGTAGCGGTAGGTCTCCCTCACGTTGCCGTGGTGGACGTTGCACTTGCCGTCTTTCCGCACGTACCTCTGGATTTTCCTTTTGGTCCGGTCTCGGCTGATGTGTCTTGGCAGGTCGTCCCTGGCCTGCTTAGGCAACTTTGGCTGGTGAATGGCCACAGGGCTCTCCACGTCCTGATCCATGGAGTCGCCCTCCAGGACGTTAGCTGGCGGTTTGGAGAAAAGAAAAGAAAGAACACGAATGAAATGCGGCTCTTGGGTGATCATGGAAACCACAGCATATGGTAGATGAAAGTGAAACCAAACACCACTCGTGGAACTATTCGCGGAGTAGATGAAGCCATTTTTACTTGGCGTCATCTGGACAGGCCTCTAGTTGACTTGGACTCCCTTTCTGCACTCTGGATAAAGAAATGCTCAGATTCAGGCAGTCTTGCTTCTTCCACTTACAAGTATGGGCTCTTGGGCACACTTTATTTTGGGCTGAATTGTATCCCAGCCTTGCCCCACCAATCCATTTGTCAAAGTCCTAACCCCTAATGTGACTGTATTTGAAGACGGGACCTTTAAGGAGGTAATTAAGGTTAAATAAGATCCTATGAGGTGGGCCCCTAATTCAATAGGGCTGATGTTCTTATAGGAAGAGGAAGAAACACCACACCAGGGATATGCACACAGAGGAGGGGACGTGTGAGGGCAGTGAGAAGGCAGCCACTTATGAGCCAGGAGGAAAGGTCTTCCAGACCAACCAGAGTCACCAGAAACCAACCTTGCTGGTACTTGGCTCTTAAATTCCTGGCCCCCAGAATTATGAGACAATGCATTCCCATTGTGTAAGCCTCCCAGTTTGTGGTGCTCTGTGTGGCAGCCCCGGCAGACGTGAGACTATCCGAATTCACTGAGCCTCAGTTTCCACATTTACAAAGTGGCGATCATGGTCCCTGGTATTTGGGATTGTTTTAAGGTTGGATGAAACCACACACCTGCCTGGGACAGACGTAATAAATAATCCTCTGTAATCAATTCTTCCTTTGCTACTTTCCGTATGTTTAGCACAAGAATTTTGAGCGACGTCTTTAAATCGTCAGTCAAATTTCAGTGTTTAAAAAAAAATTCCGGTTTTTGTTAGTTGAGTCAACGTCAGGGTTAAACAAAGTGTGGGGAAATTGCTCTCTTTTTAAGCGTTTACAGGTTTGATTTGGTTTCTGCCCCAACATTGGATTTCTGCAGTTTTGGCATGTAGTCATTTTTCCCCAGGGCCCCCACGATGAATAAATGCACTGATATAATCCTTAGTTATGGATGCATTAGGAAAACTCTTCCAGAATCTGAGTGTGGAGGGAGGTTTGGAACCGGTGCTGTTACTATGTAAACACATATAAACCACCATATGAAGCTACTGCTTCAGCCAATAACTGGAAGGCTTCCTAAAGGGCTTAGAAGCAGTTTCTTTCCCCAGGCTTCCCTTCCACTCTGTCACGCACTCCTGTCCATGGCAGCTACGTTCTTCCCCTTGGTTAAAGGCGAAATGCAGTCTGCTGAGAAAACATTCGTCTGGTTCAGAAAACAGCTGGGGATGGGACTCGAGTGGTACCAACTTAACTTATGGATTCACCTTGTCCCTGGCTGGTTAATTTCCTTAAAAATCAATCGCATAGACCTGCTTTTATATTTCAGCACAAGGAAGAGACGGCCTCGGGCCCGCAGAGCAGGCTGTGGGGCTGGACAGCTTTGACTTTCAACTTGCTGCTCTCAATTGCCTTCCATTTGTAAGGGAGGACATTCGCTTTTCCTTCTTTGCATCAGGGCAGGAGTCCAGGGGTGGCCGCCGCGGTCGGGGCAGGATGGACTATCTGCATGGAAATGAGGGGATGTGTCTCTCACTGCCAGCACCCCCTCCAGGCACCACGTTTGCGGTCCAGAGTGGTCACGGCTGAGCTCTCTGTGCACATTTTGCCCTGAGTGGGAGAGTCAACACATAACTTCATGTGGGCCAAGCTCGGGCCAAGCCCTCCCACCTTGGGAGGCCTTTCCTGGGGACCTGGCGTAGGGTCCTGTTCTGCCCCAGGAGGTACGCTCTCTCAGCGCACAGCCACGCTGAGCCCTTGTCTGCTGACATCCTTCAGTGGAGGAAGGCGCGTGGTCGGATTAGCTCCTTTTTAACAGTCTTCGGTGCTACTTCGTACTGGAAAATGTCACAGAGGAAATCTACATCCGCCCCTGCAACCCACTCTGAAGCTGCCTTCCCCGCTCCCTGGCTGGGCTCTGACCTTCTAGCTCCAGGCGCCGGTCCTGAGCAGGCGGGACCTGTCTGAACAGGGAATGAGAGTGCTGGGCGCCTGCCCGTTGATCCTCCACATCTGTTTTTCCATTTTTCTAGCTCAGGACTGGAGCACGTTTCCTGCCTCCTTTGTTTGGAGGGGTGGCCACGTGCTGGGTGCCGGCCTGTCTGGAACAGGCCCTTCTGGCCTTAAATGGTGTCTGTGTCCCTCCTATGCCCCTGCCTTTCTACGGGGGATGATAAGGGGGTGATCCAAAAACATTGAAAGAATTTATACAAGTCAACAACAACAGAAAAACAACCAACCTAATTCAGAGATGGGCAAAGGACTGGAGTAGACTGCTCCCCAAAGAAGATAAGCAGGTGGCCAACAAGCGCATGGGAAGATGTTCAGCATCACTAGTTCCCTAACCCTTAAAGAAGTGCAGACCGAAACCACAATGAGATCCCACTGCAGACTCACTAAAATTTCTATTACAAAAAAAAAAAAAAAAAAAAAAAAAAAAGGAAAATGGTTGGTGAGGAAGTGGAGCAATTGGAACCTGAGTGCAATTTTGGGGGGATGTAAATTGGTGCAGCTGCTTGGGTTCCTCAAAAAGTCAAACAGAATTACAGAATTATGTGTTCCAGCAACTGAAAGCAGGGACTCAAATAGATACTCACGCACCCACGTTCATAGCAGAACTATCACAGTAACTAAAGGTGGAAGCAATCCTAATGTCCGTCAACAGAGGCGTGGCTAAACGAAGCGCAGAGTATGCACAGGATGGAGTTCTGTTCGGCCTTAAGAAGGAAGGAAATTCTGACACATGCTCCAGCGCGGATAAACCTTGAGAACCCAGTGCTAAGTGACATGAGCCAGATACAAAAGGACAAACAGTGTATGATTTCACTTGTATGAGGGACCAGAGTAGACAAATTCATACAGAGAGAAAGGATGGAGGTGACCGGGGCTGGGGAAGGGAGAAATGGGGAGTTACTTGCGACGATAAGACAGTTCTGGAGTCGGAGGGCGGTGACGGTCGCACGGCACCGTGAATGTGCCCAGGGCCACTGGATTGTGTGCTTCAAGTGATCAAAGTGGTAACTTTGATGTCACACGTATTTTACCACAATTAAGAAAGTAACCTACGCAATAGCTCTTGCGTACAGAGAGTCCCTTGACGGTCTGGCAGACACAGCTCGCTTTTCCTGTGCTCTTCTCCCTCACCCACCCCGTGAGTCAGGAGCACGGTGACTTTGTTCTAACACTCTTGAGGAGAGGGGGCAGTTTAACCTGCAGGGTACTTTGCCCTGTGAGGGCTGTCACGGGGCTCTGGAAGGGCCCCGTCGGGAGGGAATTCCTCTGGCAGGAAGTAAGCAACAAGCTGAAACACAACGCGGACAGAGAGGCAAGGGGAGGCGTCAGCGAGAGCACACCTGAAGCTGTCCTGGGAGGAGAGCGGGGTGGCTTTGCTCAGGGAGGGGATGATACATGCTCTTCCTGGCAGACAAAGCCTGGGGTCTTGGGGCACTTGAAGAGGGGGTTGTAGGTGTAAGCGTCCAGAAGGCACCAAGCAGCTTTGTCTGGGGAAGGCAGAGACAGTAGTGGAAGAACGCCTGGCGGGACCCTGCAGGCTGTTGCGCCAGACGGAGGAGGGATGTGGTTGAATATTTTATGTGTTTTAGGAAGACCCTTATGGGCCAATGGTGTGTAGCAGGGGTTGGAGGCAAAGGTGGGCAAACATTTTCTGTAAAGGCCCAATAGTGATATTGTAGACTTGGCAGGCAACAGAGGTCTCTGTGGCCTAAACTGTTCTTAGTTCATAGGAGGTACAAAAAGATGCCACCGGCTGGATTTGACTTGCAGACTGCAGTTTGCTGATCGGTAGACCAAAGCGATGCCAGTTAAAAGGAGAAATGGCTGGGTGATGAATCAGGGGGAGGCTGAGAGGGCGGAGGGGAGGGAGGAAGGGCAGGTGTACTGGGCAGGGGGAAGTCTGGGGGTCAGGCGGTGGCGTGGTTGAGTCAAAGAAGCTGAGGAGGATGCCGGCTGGGCTGGTTCTGTTTAAAGTGCCCACAGACACGCAGGTGAACTCTCCCATGGGAAACCAGGTGGGTGGGGCTGAAGCTTATGAGCGGCCTGACCGGGCTCCGCGTTGGAGGTTCTCGGCGCATCCGAGGGGGAGTTGTAATCTTGGGCATGGAGAAAAGCTCTGGAGGGACTGCGCAGAGTGGGAAGAGAATCTAGAAGGCAGGATCCTGGACCACATTTACAGTAAGAAGCCAGAAGTAGAGGAGTCAGAGGAGGTGCCAGGAGGGATGTGCAGAGAGGTGAGGAGGAGGAGGGGAGGAAGGGGGCGGGGAGCCGGGCTCGACCTGCATCTCAGGGGGCATCTGGGGGGGGTGCTTTTTAGCACATGACCACTTGGGAGAAAAACGATGAATCTCTTCCTTAGTTCTTATATCAGGATAAATTCCAAGTGAATTAAAAACTTAAATGAAGAAAAGAAAACGAAAAATAAAAATGACAGAAGGAGCAGAGATGCATTTTTATAATTCTAAAAGTTGAGAAAGCCTTTCTAACCATGACAAGAATCCAGAAACTATTCTAAAACACTGGTATTTTTATCAATATAAAAATTTTAAATGTTTGTAAGAAAAGTAGGAAGACAAATGAGGAAAAATATTCGCGAGACACAACATACACATTCCTGATTCACAAAAGCAATAAATATCCCACAGAAAAAATGATCAAAGAAAACGAAGAAGGAGCCGGTGAGAGAAAAAACACACAGAGATAACAAGCATCTGGAAGGATAGTTCAACCATGGCAAAGTAAAAGCAACGCAAATATAATAACTTTTTTTACCCTAAAGTTAGCAAAATTAAAAATGCACAACAATCGCAGTGCAGGGAGTGTGGTGCTGGGCGAGTAGTGTGCTG